AGGTACCAATTGTGCGTCCCCAGTATTATGAGTACCAAGACTTTAAATAAAAAAAATTTGTAATTATTTTTATTTCTAAATGGGATCACCCATCAATTCTTCAAAACTTGGCAGACAATAACGAAAATTGGCAGCGACTTATTATAGCAATTTTATAGCTTTGCAAGATTTTTATTTGAGTTAAATAAAAATTTATACTTTTAAGGAAAACGGGAATGCAATAATGTAGACTGCAGACCTCCCAGTACACTTGGATGACAATGGACTTATTACACAGGAATGTGGAATGTGACAAGGCAATGTGTTACCCAGCCTATCTCCCCACTCCCATCTTACACATGTAGGTCTAAAAGTGTCACAAGTAGTCTAATATAAAACCAGTGTTATCTTTTGGATCATCTAAAAAGCTAATCTTCAATCCCAAACTTGCATATGAGCAATGTTTTTTTCTGCTATTGTTGCACACCTGATATTAATTAGTGTCTGTTATACCATAGACAAAAAGGATTAAAATTATAGACAGCCAGCCGTGCTGCAGTTACCGCTGGGAGCGCCACATAGTTACGGCGTACACGCTACGTAAACTACACGGCGCTCCCAGCAGAACCTATGGTAACCATGGTGACCGCAGCATGGCTGACAGTCTATTTCATTCTTTTTGTCTATGATTATACCCTTTGAATTGCTATTTCTTAGGAACTCCTGAATTTCAAAAAGTTCCTGAATATTATAAATAGGTACCAGTACTGATTGATATCTTTGCTGAAATGCCAGCAACTTAAATTGAATAGCTTAAAAAAACATTAATTTAAAACATGAACATTAGTACTACCAATTCAAAAAAACATTAGTTTAAAACATGAACGTTAGTAGGCCTACTATAGTTCGGCCGCTTAGAAAACGACCTGCGCGCTAATGCTAAACCAATGCTGGAGGAGTTCGCTTTCTAAGCGGCCGAACTATACCATTAGTACCATTGTAGGGTCATATGAACAGGATATAACTTTATGCATAGGCCATAGTCCTATTTTGTTTTGTATGTAAGTACTGTACCGGTACATACACTTTTAATTTTTTGCATGTATATTTTAGAAAAAGTGTATGACTTTTAAGTTTTTGAGCCCTAGGGAGTATTTTTTATAGATTTTTATATGCCTATAGGCTTGTGATCATTTTTTTTCTCTCATCATAAGAACAAAAAACCTAAGTCATGATTAAAAAAGTAAGTTTTTGGTGTATAAACACGTATTAAGTTTAATTTTTAGCCCTCTTTCACACCAGTGTGGTTAGAGCCTGCACTGGATCGTCAATCCGGTCTGGCCATTTCACATTAGTTGCCCGGATCTGGGCTTTTGCAGGCTTAAATTTGTGATTTTTGGGTGTAACTTATTCAAGATTGAAATGAATAACAGTAAAGTGGTATGTGTTATACTTGTTGTGTATCCTAAAAGAAAAAACAACGCTCCTGTGATAAATAAGTTAGGAACTATTTAGTATTGAAGAAGTACGGGTGAATTCATGTTGATTAATTGTATTTAAAAAAAAGCTATGGTCACAGCTACGGAGTGATGAAGGGAAGATCTTAAACTCCAGTAGAATGTCCACGGCAATCAGACTTTTACTCTAAACACACCTCTCACTCCCACCATGCTCCATTACTAAAACACAATAACATCTAAACCTGGGACTGATTATTTTTCTTCTGTTGCCATTGGTTCCAGAGGGGAAAAACAACAAAACTGTAGATCAAATTTTGATATAGTCTATGCATGTAACCTACAATGCATGTATAAACTTTACCGGCATGAGGTTTTAGCTAAAAAAAACACTTTGTTAATCATTATCAAAATTATTTACATTTCTCAACAGTTATTATGATTGTAAAGTGTTTTGTAATATGGGAAATAAATTCATTTATTCATTATCATTACCTTCCCTGTATAAGCGAAACCGAATGTCTTAAAAAATAAAGTTATTTAAATATGGAATAATTCAGGTACATGTTTAATGAAATATTTTAATAACAATATACCTAATCAAGTATAAATGGAAATTTTAATTTGTTGTCTCAGGGTGTAAGTCCAACATCACTGGCCTACAAAACAAACCAAAATACAACAGGTTTACTTGACCAACTAATCAAGTGCTCGTTGTCAATTTCTTCTGCCTTACATACAAACATTTCGTATGTTTAGAAGAAAAAATTGGAGAACCACTGCACTCAGCCACTGATAAAGACAAACTGGGAAAACTACTGATTAACGTCCAAGGTGAAACCAGCCTGGGACGCATAAGTGTAGATAACTGGACCCGCATTGACAGTTTAGGATTGTCCGGGCCTAACCGCACTAGTGTGAAAGCTCCTACAAGATCCAATAGTCACTTCAGAATCGTTTCAACTGATACAGGCCCGGACTTTGCCCCAATGGAGTGAAAGAAGTATTAAGCATCATAGTTCACTTCCTGATTGGAGCTGTAGCAGACCAACAATTCTCCTACTGTTTAACTTGAGCTGTCCAATGATTTATTCTGGGTGAACATATGCCCCTGTCACAATCAGGTAAAATTCCTCACAAGATGCAAACAATATACCGAGGGCAGGATTCAAACCCAAAACTCAAGGGTCATGGTTCTAAACTTTATTTCTAAGTAGAAACAAATAACAAGCATATATTTTTGGGGTTTTTGTGATTTGCTCACAAATTAAATGGTCATCAGAAGCTTAAAATTGTTTTAGTTAGGCTACGTTCGATAGCCCCGGTTACCAAGTTGCAAATAAGTCAGTGCTCGCCTACTAATTACTGCTTTGTATTCAATACAGTAGACTCCCTCTTATCCGGACTCCTCGGGACCGATGCCAGTCCGGAACGGGTTTTCCGGTTAAACCGACGTCCCTAAAATCTCATTAAAACGGACAGTTTAAATGCATACTCTACAGTATGACTTAAAATTAGAAGAGCATTTGTATTTAGACACATAATCACTGATTTCAAATCTTTCCCAAGAGAACAGTCGTTTCAGTACTGCCCACTTCCTACCAATCTAGTCCGGTTAAACCGATAAAAATTATCCGTATAAAGAGATGTCACTTCTACCGAGCGTAGTCTGGTCAAAAACCGATGTCTGGTTAAAAGGTGTCCAGATAAGAGGGAGTCTACTGTAATAAGAAAACTATGTTTTGACAGTTGGAATACAATCACATTGTCACTGGTACAAGCTATGTTAAACCATATTTTTTAAATACAGTAGAGTCCTGGTTATCTGACCTAAGTTAAACGGACCATGGCAAGGTCAGATATAGGCAAGAAGGCAAGAAGATATTAAAGAAAAGACTGTAGGCTACCTAATAAAAATCATTGTCGGCTAACTTCAAACGTGTGAAAATTTTTAAATTCCTAAAGATTACAGTATTGTAACAGTAGGCCTACATATGTTGTCTACAAATTACATCAAGTAGCCTATCCCACAAGCTTCAGACGCAGCCATGCGAGCAAGTACAATTTTTACACCATTGTATTGCTTACTCTCCTCCCCCCCCCCCCCCCCATTACGATTCTTGCCATAGGTCGGCCGGTTAGAAAACGACCTCCTCGTAGCATTGGGTGCGAGAGAGAGATACCAAGCTGTGGGAGTGAGACAGACTATGGATCTTCTCCCACTCCGCTGCTGCCCCACCCTACCCGAACACACGCCCCCTTAAATTGCAACTAAAATATTAACAGCAATTAAATAATACAGCTAAACAAAATTTAAACAAATACGCGGAGAGGGGGAACATACCCTCCCTTGCCGTTACCTCCCCTACATGCGCTAAATTTTTTAGCGCAGGTCGCTTTATAACCTGCCGACCTATAGTTCTCTGTGCAACAATAAGTTTTGCTTTAACTTACCTAGGCTAATAGATAGTGAGAAGGTAAGACACAATTTATTTGGATTAAGTGTAGGCCTAGGCCTAACGTCAAAATTCTGCCAGTAAGCTACAAGGATGCAGAACGTGAAAGCAAACTATCTTAGTTCTGTAGGTAATCATACTAAGACATATTGTAAGCAGGGCTTGTGTACATTGTAAAATCTCAAAATTGGAATCTAGCCAGAGCCCTAACATAAGTTATGGGTTGAAATATTCATATCCTATTCGACCAGTAGCTACAAATTTTTAAATCCCATGAAAACTTTAACTTATTTGATACCGTACTGAAGGCTAGGCTACAGAATTGCTTGTTTGACACTAGGTCTAAGTCAACTTTTAATTTAGGCTACACAAATTGGGCTTTTCTAGGTTAGCGGACAAGAAACACTAGCTTTAGGCCTAATGATTTAGATTCAGGATGGAATTAGAAAAAATGTTCATCCATCAAAAATGTTAACCCACTAGTTTAGTTTGAGCGTCAATGCAATAAACCAACTTAAGTTAGGGCCTATTTACAATAGTCTAAGATGTTGTTTTAAAAATTGCACATGTAGGATAGGTTACAGAATTATTTGAAAGTCTAGGCGCACAGTTGTTATTAAGGTCTCAGCCCAATACACTGAAATAAATAAAATATGAGTATAATAAGGTTAGCTCCTATTTTTTGGGAGAAATTAGCCTAGGTACTACTGAAGGTCAATAAGAAAACAATATGGAATGAATGGTAGGCCTAACTTATTCAAATTTTTACACGGCTATCAGCTAGCCTAAATAAAACTTTACTTTCATTAAGATTATAGGCTATCATAGAAAAACCTAGGATTGAATAGAAATACAGGCCTACACATTCTAAATGAGCCTAGGGGATTTTATTGAGCTCTTATTGAAGTATCATCTGCATTGACAATACCTAAATAGCTTTGACCATGTCCCACTTTTTGACTGATGGCTACCAAAACCGGTTGAACTTAAATATAACATAATCAATTATTTATTGGAGCTAACTCTCCTGTAATTAGAACTGCATTAAAAGAAACATTAAGATAACTGCTGACGATATAAAAATAGCTCATAAACATTTGACTCTAACCTGATCTCAGTCTTTACTATCCACAATGTCTTCAGTCTTGTGTAGCAGTCTTCTCGTATGGCACATGAGGCCTCAAAAAGTGCAAATGCACTTGTTACAACTGCTAACTCATAATTTATGTCAGTCAATAGTCATTTACGAGATTTATGCCGCACAAATGAAATATTAATAAACATTAATCCTGAGAACACTGAACACCACTAACTAGACCCGCCATGTTTGAAATTTTCAATAACAAACATCCAAACAAACAGTAGACGAGAAAATCCTATGGAGAAGCTTACTACATCTGTCGGTAAAACGTTGAACTATGTTAGCGTTTGCTCATGTCTGCTTCTGCTTCACAGCTGACGCCAAGAGGTAGCGCGCGCTGTATCTTTTTCTTTTAAATTGAGTAACATTTTCATTTTATTATATAGCAACTACATTATTGTATTGTGGCAGCAAACGCAAAGCCCGGCGTTGCCCGGGCACAAAAAAATAAAATAAAATGTACAATAATGGTTATAGAATAAGTTTTTTTCTTTAGTTTTTCGTGTTCTGTTGTCGTTTCCCACGTGAAAAGAATATCTTGTGAAAAATCACCTTGTAAACAAATGTCATGTGACCACCTATTTCTAATCTAATCATACGGTATAAATTTTAAAGCCAACGACTTTACAGTAAAACAGTAAAACAGCAACTTCGTCCACGTGAAAAACCTTAAATTGAAACAGGGGGCTTGAATTTCCACCCTTGTTATAAGTACAGTAGTAACATACAACCTTCCGTTGAATACTATTACCAAACTTATCTTACCTCCGTGGCCATTAAAACCTTAAGAGGGTTTTGGCCACAACAACTATAACAATACATCTCATTTGGTCAGTGCGCAAGATTCTAAACATTACAGTGCTACTAGGATAGTTATGGTACGATCTTGATCTAAATTTATGTTTTCTACTGTCAGCCATTTGGGCCTTGGTTTTCTAGTGACCAATTGATCCTACACCTTCTGCACGATTAACATTTTCATAACTATGATCATTTTGGTATGTCGTCAGAGAGACGTTCGAGATCAAACATAAAGAGAACTATCAACACAAACCACTTATAACTTAATCAAACATGAGTTCGAAATTCCACAGCATAAACTTATATCTACAACACAACTTGATTATACGTAGGTAAGTGTTAAGGATATCAAGTAAAACGTTTCAAAATTACCTGAAAACGTAAATCCTTCACGGTAAGAAAAAACTACATTTATTAACATCATACATACAAATATTTAATACAGAACCAACGGTAAGTTGCGTTACAACTTGTAACGTAATAATATTTCATCACTAGGGCGTAAAGTAAATCTTTTGGACCCGAGCTGAAGTTTCTATATTTTGCCCGTGTGATGAACGATATTTTTCGTCATATTGCATCATTAATTTACAAACTAAGCTAGAATGCGAAAATACTTTCCATGTAAAGATAACCTCTCAAAACGACTTCCAGCTTGCTTTCGAAAGCAGCTATTTATTTTTTATATTAAGTGATCCAATTATATTTAGTCTATTACGTTTGTGTTACTGTACATTTTTCCATCGATATGTCGAATTATTAACAGGAATTCAACAATAATCCAAAACATTGCCTAATAAATCAATCCATAAATCATTTCGGTCCATATGATTGCAACAATCGAAATCCACGACTGTTTACAACAACTGACTTTTACTCCCTACAGATTACAATCAACTTTTAAAAATAAGACTTAATTGCTACAAAAAAAAAAATTAAACGCCATTATACCATTATGGTTTCGAAATTCCCATCTTTTTCAAAATTATCTTTCTTTCAAAGAAAAATCATGAAAATATCCATCAGGTGGTTGATTTAGAATCTTGAAAAAACCCTCTCGCGTTTAATATATAAGATTATAACATACTTTTCTTGGTTGATGTATTACAACTTGGAGAATGTTCGTCGATGCCCTACGAACTTTTATACTGAAGGAACTCTAGGAAATTAGTGAGTCATAGCCTAAAATAAACAAGACTGATATCAGACGATAAGCAAACAAAACGGGATCATCCCATAAGTCTGAGTAAATCTAAACTCGGAATATTATGACCCCCACCCAACAAAACCCTAGAGTCGTCAAATGATAACGTGTTGTTACGGTTTCTACATAGCGATAATAATAAAACTACAATCAATGAACAACTAATATGCGTCTCAAACATTGACGACATACACATGATAGTATAATGGCCTTTACTTTATCCAAACAACCACTCTTATAAATTTAAGCTAGTTACGGTTAGTTACAGCAGTTATTAGTTCAAACTCAATTAAGGCAATCATATATAATGGATCAAGAAAACTAATGTTCATGGAAACACAACTATCTGTTTAGTAGACAGAATAAACATAAAGATGGGTTGTGGACTTGGAAGTTATGCAAAAACGTTCATCTTTAGTACGACATTTAGATAATCTATAAATTAATAGGCAAGCATGTTTCTTTAAAATTTAGCTAAAATCTACGCATATTGGTTGAAAGATATTTTCCTGTAGATTCTCAAAAGTTAGAAAAAAAATAATTTTAAATAAAAAAAAATAGCATTGGCATTAATTTATGAGTTGCTATGATGGTGACGAGATAACGACGAAATATAAACAGAAACTACTGAACCGACTGGGCTCAAATTGCACACAAATGAAACTACAGGTCCGAGGATACATATAGAACTATTCCCACTCCGATATTGACCTAGGGCTCTGCCCCGTGGGCTTTCAAAAATCTGAGGTGAGAGATTTAAAAGTAAATATTGATTGATGGTATCCATGGTAACAAAGAACAAACCTACTAAGTTTAAAAATTGGTATATCTTTTTGACAATGCTGAGGAAGATAACAAATGCACCTTGGTATGTCACCAATAGAACACTACATCAACACCTTAAGATGCCTACAGTTAAGGACGAAATCATGACCTTAAGTGAACGATATATTACGAAATTGGAATCTCATCAAAATCATCTATATATTTAATACGCGACATGAAACTTTGTGAACAATAAGGCTTTTTTGTTTTAAGATTTAACCCCACATATTATATACCAAAATGTTCGTCTAGGTGTTTAGATATGCAAACTGGCTTTAGATTTTCGAAATATGTCTTTTTAAGGGCGTGGGCTGCCCTCAAAGTTCCTTCCATAACGATAGCATTGTGATTGATTTGAATGTTATTATATTCTGAAACAGATGTCAATACATTAGTTTAAACAAAAATTAAATCCCAGCTGTTTTGTTTGGTTTTGAAATGTAAACAGTTTGCATGTTTGCAAATGATTAGAAAACCGGCAAATAAATGTTACCTATAGGACACGACGGGAGAAAAGTTTTACATTATATTTTCGTCGAAACATGTCAAGGACCCGACGACAAAGAAATATTGCCGGTCGGAGACGGTGAGTCAACATAGGGCAAGCAATGCAAAACGTAAGGAGCCCAGACGAGGAGCTGGAACAGTTAGTGGCAACGTGTACTTACAAAATTACACTGACATATTCAGCAGCATTCACTTGGCGAGATGACATTAAAATGTCAGAAATGTGGTGCGCTACATTTTAATGAAGAACAAAGAGGACGAGGTGAAGGATTTTATTCTTCTGCCATAAAAGAAATGTGAATCTACCACTAACCAAGAAATCTATTATATCCAGAGCCTACTTTATGGAGCAAATCATTTGAGCAGAAACTACAAAGAGAACATTAGATCGTACACCTCTACGCTCGCAATGGTCAGCACTCAGTTACCTCCCGCTATCTCCGCGTCCCGCCACCTCCGTGTCCCGCCACCTCCGAATTTCAGAGTGACCCCTATAATCCTCGGTTACTACATGCGTTAAGACTTTCCGTCCTAACCTAACCTAACCTAACTTAACCTAACCTAACCCACGGGTTAAATTTTCATTAAATCTTCCATCCACGGGGCTTTGCAGCCGTGGATGCAATGACAGCTACCAACGCAGGCAATGACGGTGTTATAAGGGTCACTCAAGAATTCGGAGGTGGCGGGAGCACACGCAGCGCTCGAGCTAAAATTGAAGAACATAACGGTGGAGGGCCTTTCATGTATAAGGTGCACATTTTATCACTCAATTGTCACCTTTTAACCGTCAGAAGGGGAGAATCCCACATATGCCCAAATTTATATCTACGGACGTCAAAACCGCTGTTCAAGGAAGAATGCTAAACAAAGCTAATGGTTCTTGCAGCACTGAACTCATGCACATTTTGACTCAACATTTGGTTGATTTTAATCCATACGCGCAAGTTTTCAGCATGATTAGTTCCGTCCTGCAAAATACTCCTACTGAACAGCAAAAGAACTTAGAATGCATATAGCCAACGATCGAGCTCAAGACCAACGTCAATACAACGACGTAACTTCTATCGACGTTGCTATAATATCCTAATTTATTATTTGTGCGAATTCGCACGGGTTCACCTAGTTTAGCATTAAACTTATTAAACAACACGGATACAATTTACAGACTTAAGAGGCCATCAATTCTGGACCTGCCCTTCAGATTTTTGTAAAGTTTTTTATTGAATAATTTGTTGTTGACAGTGCTTAACAGCTATTTTTATTGCCCAAAAGTTAATTTGTTGTATTACATAGCATTTACTTATTGTTCAATATATTATAGAACAGATTGTAAAGTAAACAAATAAAAAAAAGTTTAAAAATGTAAACAAGTAGAACCAACTGCCAAATTAATTTTTGATTTCACAATTCCACACATCTGGTTCAAACATATTAAATACTGCACGAATATTAGAACAGAAACTGTATGGATCATAAAAATAATAAATGATGTCACTCGCCCGAATGTAAATATAATTTAACATTACTTAAATGAAACTGTCAAACCATTGTGTTAATGTCATTAGTATAGGTTTCCTTTAGTTACGTCATTTTTTATGTTTATGATCCATACTGAGTCTGTTCTAATATTTGTAATAATATTTTACAGGGGATAATTCCTTGTAATAGTATATTTTGTACCTAGGGCCGAAAATGAGGTTTTTCCGGCACGAGATAGTTTTTAAGTTCGAGACGATCATGGTACGAACGCTATTTTTCACCAAACTTAGATTTGCCAAAACAAATTTACAAAACAAAACAGTTATCTGTGTGCTCTCGTTACACATTACATTAT